CAGGTTGCCCAGAGAGGTGGTGGATGCCCCATCCCTGGAAAAGTTCAAGGTCAGGTTGGACGGGGCTCTGAGCAACCTGATCTAGTTGAAGATGTCCCTGCCCACGGCAGGGGGGTTGGACTAGATGACCTTTAGAGGCCCCTTCCAACCCAAACTATTCTATGATTCTACGCTCGCTCCATAGCTCGACTCCGAAACTTGCAGCTACCCGCAGGCTTAAGCTCAGCTTTAACAAGGACCCAAGTAGATCATCGAATGGAAAAGCCTTGAGCTCAGTCCCTGAGCTGATGTTGGAGGTGGTAAAAATAAAATTGCTGCTAAAATAAAAGGAAAGCCTCCCCCCCCCAAAAAAAAAAAAAAGTATAGGAATTCACAGCTCCAGGAGGTAGATGGGGATTGTGTGCTGGGGTGGATTTGCACCCTCAGAACAGCCCAGGGTATGCAGCAAGTATTATCCAGGCCCTAATTACACCCAGGAAGACATGATAATGGAAAATAATAAAACACAACAAAGAAACAAGAGCAAAATTGAGATACTGACTTCCCCCACCAAAGCAGGCAGCCATCACCCAGCTATCACCTCTCCTTCTCACGGCTGGAGCAGCCAGAGCCCCCCGAATCACTGCTCCCCCTGGAAACTCAAGGCCTCAGAGAATGCAAGAAATATAGATCTATTTCGAACCAAGGTGGTCCCCATCCATGAAGGACCTTCACCATTGAGGAAGAAAGAGGACTTTTCCAGGAGAGAAGACAAGCTACAAAGCGCCATGAGACATCCTGCAAACTTTTCAAGAAGTAGAAAACGCATTGAAAACCATATTTTACCAGCCTTTACCGAGCCGTGAGCACTTGCAGCTGCCGGTGGGACCACGCTCACTCAGCACCGAGTGACATGTTCCCTTCAAAGCCACCCAGACTGGAGAAGACCTCACCCCTTGCCCAGCTGCCTCCCTAAGGGCAATGCCCCGCTACAGACAGCTTATTTGAAGACTCCCTCAGCCCTGATTGGAGGCTCCCAGCCCAAGATGCACCCTGGGAAATGAAGTTTTAGCCCAAAAGCTGACTTTGTGGAGAACCCCTAACCAGCATCTCCCTAGCAAAGAGACCTTCTAAGGGGGAAAATACTTTGCACCGCTCAGGTGGAGGATTGGGCCAAACACATCGCTTTAAAAACAGCTTCGGGAAACCTACCTTCTAGGAGCTATCCCCTCTTCAATTATATGATTAAATTAGTCCCAAAATCCAGCCTTTCTCAGCTGTCTCTTACCCATCAGAGCCCCACAGTTGGATTCGGAGACGTCTTTGAGCCCGGACTCTGGGTGCAGAGGCCAGATCCTGCAGGGTGCTGTATCCTGCTGCCCATAACCCTCATCCTGAAGCACTCACCCATCCCACTCCTCTCCAGCCCTATTCATGGAGGTGAGTCTATTGCTTTCACCTGCCCACATTGCCATCAAGCACCTCATCGCAGCTGAGCCTCAAAACGGTCTCGACCATCCTCAACCCGGTGCAAGCAGCGCAAGCTGGGAAAGGGGCTGGTGCAAAGGGGCCACGGAGGCTTTACACAGCATGAAGAAACACGAGCTTTCCCCAAAAACGCTGGGGTTTGGGGCAAAAAAAGGCATCGCCCCACGCCAAGATCGCCGGCCGGGGCGAGTAGCGGGGCCAGGCGTTCCCCTGGGAAGGTGCCACCCGGTTGGTGGCCGGGAGCGGAAAACCCCGGAGGTAGGGCTGGCTCCGGGAAAGCCTCTTTGATCCCCGTTGCGCCACCCGAGGAAAAGGCATCCAAGCCACCTTTCTTGCTGGATGAGTAAAAGTTGTCAAGGGATGGGATCCAGCCCCGGGGCAGGGAGCAGGAGAGGACGATGTCCTGTCGGGGCTTGTTTGCTCTCGGCCGCCTTCTGCCAAGCCGGGGACCGGCGTATATTTGATTTTCTTTCACTTTCACCCTGGGTCCCGTATAGATTCAATCAGCGCTGATGCTTGGTGAAGGTTTCTCTCAAGCTCTCCGTACCAGTTGGGATGTCCATGATGGGAAACGATGGGGTTTGCAGGGTGGGTGAGCTGGGAGAAACCTGTCCCGACCTAAACCAGCTCCATACGTGCTGCCCAAGCACAACCTGGGTTAAACCTCTTCATTATTAAGATGGGTTTTATATATTTTTTATCGATTTTCCCTTTGCAGATGCTCTTCGCAATGGGGGAGATGCGTACCAGTTGGGATGTCCATGATGGGAAACGATGGGGTTTGCAGGGTGGGTGAGCTGGGAGAAACCTGTCCCGACCTAAACCAGCTCCATACGTGCTGCCCAAGCACAACCTGGGTTAAACCTCTTCATTATTAAGATGGGTTTTATATATTTTTTATCAATTTTCCCTTTGCAGATGCTCTTCGCAACGGGGGAGATGGAGCATGGCTCCATCCAGGGCTCTGCAGTGGGGAAACGTGGACCACGAAGGGGGTCTGGCTCATCCTTGGGGAAAACCAGATTGTAAATGGGGTCGCTGCACGGTTTGGTGACGCCGTGGATTAAATAGTAATTTTGCTTTTCTAGTCCAGCGGCTCCTTTCAGACTGGGATATCCAGGAGGGAGAGAAAAGCCCTTCCTAACATACTCCCTTCCCTGGGATCGCGTGCAAGCCTCGAAGCCCCGACAAGGAAAAATTGGCTGGGAAAGGTGGAAACGTTTTAATATATTCAGGCTATTAGAAAACAAATTCATGCAATATAAAAGCTTCAATGTATGCCAGGCTAATGTTTTTTTCCCCTCGTTAACCAGCTGAATCTGCACGGTTCTCCCCGTGCCCTACTGACATGACAAGGATTCATCACGCACAAGCGCGGTCTCATTAACTTCATTACAGAAACGAAGCCAGGCCCCGCTAAAGACCGAGGAAACTTTTCGCGGTGACACGACGCCGGTGACAGCCCAGCTCAGCGTCCCCATGCCGGGCACTGCACATGTTAGGGTCCCGTGTGCATCTTGGGAATTGGATTTTTCCAACCCCCGGTTACTTTTCCCGTAAAATTTTGCCGGCTTTAAGGCTGTCGCCCGGTCCGGCTCTTATTTTACGAGCGTCCTTGAAAGTAAAACCCTGCTATGGCTTAACAAGACAGCTCAGAGGGGGGGAAAGTGGGGCAGGATTTGCCTGTATCTGGCTGGAAACAGTCAGAAAGTGGCGTTTGGGTTTTTTTTTTAATTTCCTTTTGTATTATTTTTATATTATATTGTATTTGGTCCGGGGCTGTACAGGAGCAGAGTCTAACGGCTACAGCAGGGAGGGCGCACGGCGGTTCCAGGCGTTGCGGAATTGCTCCGGCAGCTGTGCGAGCTGCAGTCGTCACCATCCAGATGTTTGGGTTTGTGGCTGGGGTTTTTTTCTTGGGGGGAGGGGATATGATGTGGCCAAGGGGTCACACAGAGGGAAGCGCCTGGGGCACGGCACTGGGGCAGAAGGCAGCTGGAGCTGGCTGGGGGGGGGTGTGTGTGCACGATGGGGGCTGCCTTA